TGTAAAAGAAAACGAACACGCCTACCAAAAGATGTGAAAACATATTAACTCATACGTGCCCAAAAACAAAGAAATGTACATGTGAACCGAAGTTTTGATCAATGTAATTTCAAAAAACATGTGATTTTGAAATACACTACTAATTGTGATTGGTTAATTCAGTCATTGTGGTATTGATTAGATGTTAAAGATCATTTTGTCACACTTATTCAAAACATTTTTTGGATCTTTTCATTATTCAACAAAAACCATATGTATGCAACATATAATGTGATATTATTAAAACATTCATAAGCTTTCTACATTACTCGCATTTCCAAGGTTTCTCCCATTCGTATGCATCTACAAGCCGATCATACATCCATTTTTTCCAAAACCCATCCTTCTCCTCCAAGCTCAGCCATTTTCCTTCTTTTATCATCTTCTCATTAATTTTCATCATCCCCATTCAATTTTTCTCCTTATCGATCATATAATGTGTAAAGTTTATTAAAATAATCAGAAGCTATCCGATAAACTATCAATATTAGAAAACTAACTACAAGTTAAACTATACAAAACAAAACATTCAAGAATAATTTATCAACGCGGTTCAGTGTCATCATTTTGATTCTCCGTGAGATGTATTTCTCGGTTAGAAATCTGGTCCAATTTATTTCGGTTATTAGTGGTTCTAACCAGTCCCAACTAATCTGGTCCAATTTATTTCGGTTCTTAGTGCTTAACCTGACCGAGTAATCTGATCCAAAGAGATGTTACGGTTTAATTAAGATTGCATCGAAATCGGTTTGGTTTGGCTTAATGTGGTTATGATTTTTGTCAAGTCTCGCTACGAGTACTACTACCATTAATTGAAAGAAACAGAGCAAAAATGGAAATTTAGGGTAAAATGGAAAAATGGAAGTTTTGGGAAATACGATGGAGGTCTATGAAACGAGAGAGTTGGGTTTTGAGGGTTTTAGCCGTTTAGAGTTTTCTTTCGATTTGTTTCAAAAATGTCTCAGCTTTTGGTTCGAATCGCTAAGATCTCATCATCCTCACTTGTGAAGAAGAAGCATGGACTCTGTTTCAGCGGATTCCGGTCACTTTCCACGGCGGCGACGCCGTATCTGCTTTTCAAGGAGACGTTCAAGGATGAGAGGACACCATCTGGTGAACCAGTGGTCGAATTGAACTTGTACGATCCGAGGAAAGACGAAACRGTGAMMATCCCCGACCAGGCTCTGACGAAGGAGCTCCTCACATCGTGGAAGACAGGATCGTYGAGGGGATGGGTGGTTGCGGAGGACAAATCCGACTCGACATTGCGTCTCACTAATATGTACAACCCTTGTGCCTCTGCTTCCTCACGCAAGGTTATCTCTTTACCTCCAACTAAATATCAAATCWSYGGAATCTCKCTCTCGGCTTCGCCGGAMMAGGAAGACTGTGTAGTGGCCGCCTTGTCACRTTGTTCATCTCTSATTATGTGTCGGCCTGGTGACTCGGAATGGACACCTATCATGGTCCCCTTATATACCTCAGGGATGATATATTCAGTGAGAGATCATAAATTCTACCTCAACAAGAGGCTTAAGGGAAAGTACAATGGTCCAATTGATTTCGTCGACACTAGCTCCGGCTTCCCTCAGATGAGTCTGTACCAGCCTTCCCTCATCGACCCTGACTCCGACTCCCCTTTCTCCGACATCCCCGAGAGTAGACTAGAACAGCTTTACTCAGCTACCATGGCTCAACACATTGTCGAGTCACCTTCTGGCGAAATCTTCATCGTTTACTGGTAATTCATCTATCATCTTCTGGAGAATAGTAATATGCGCTTGTTCTGATCACTCTAGTTTGGCATTGTTGAATCACACCTTCCTGATGCGGTTTACATTTTAACCAGAGATTCAGATATCATTAATTGCCTCTTGTCTTGAAGGTTTAACGAGGACTTGATCATGGACGAATGGGAAGCTGCATGCGCCAAGGAAGCTCTTTGTCAATCCTCCGTCAGGATCAAGCCCAGGGGTTTTGTGGTGTTTAGGCAAGACCCTGAGCAAAAGATGAGTTGTTACACTGAAGACATTGGCGATCTCTGCATTTTCCTAGGCAGAAACGAGGCCTTTCTGAGGATCTCTGCAACCGAGTATCCTGGACTTAAGCCGAATTCCATCTACGTTGCAGACACTTTCACGGGATTCGGATTCTATGACCTTTCCTCCAACACTGCCCACGACATCATCAATCCGCTCCGTCACTCATGTTGGTTCATTTGGCTGGCCCCTCTCGAATGAATGTTTGTTCTTCTTGCTTTTGGTTAACCAATGCATTTCCTTAAGCTTTGAAGCTTTTGTAACATTTAGTGTTGTACTAAGCATATGATTTTCGAATTTATCTTATTATTATTACTTCCTTTGCTTTTCTTGATGTTTTAACTTATGAAAAACTCAATGATGCTTAGTACGTTTAGTTAAGTAATGCGTATATACAGTTCAAAAATTGATGAGACTCTCCTACCATTCTCTTTCTTTATTGCTCATTCCTCCTCTTCCTTAAGCTCTATATCTCTGAAAATGGTTGCAGTTGTTTTTATCTCATCAATTTGGATCTTTTCTATACTTATTTATTTCATCAAGTAGCCATTCGAGAGTAGAAGAATATGGATCTTTATGAACAAGATTAATTTTCCATCAAGAAATCGAAAGGAGAGTTTCTTTTGTTTCTCTACAACTACTACTGATTACTATTCTCTTTGTACAAAATCCTAAGAAAGAAAAACTTTAAAGCCATGTGTGAAGAAGTGAGAGCAATGATTTATTTACTTAGTACTAATTCATTCGGGTACTGGCCTGGTTTAATTGAATTAAAGAGTTTTCTTGGACATATTATCATTAGTACAAATTTATTCCCCTATTTACTTATGTGCTTATACGAATTACAAGAAACAAACTTAAGAGCGATGGAAAGAACCTTGACCTTTAGTTATGGCATAAATAGTTCAGTTCAACAGTAAATGAAACAGAGCAAAATAAGAGTGATGACAAGTATATCCAATAATCCACTATCAAACTTGGTGTAAAAAAGAGAATGCTTATTTACCATCTTCGCCTCAAGTAAACCAAACACTAATTAAAGCTCATCTTGAAATGAGAAGACGATATTATCAAAGTGTAAATAAAGTTTATCAAGATGCAACAGTGAGAGACTCAGATCTAATGATCAAAATCAAAGATTGACATTAGAATATGTTGTGGTTTAATGGAAATCGAATCGAAATTGGTTTGGTTTGACTTAATTCGGTTGATTTTTTTTAAGTCTCACCACTCCATTAATGGAAGAAACAGAGCAAAAATGGAAATTTAGGGTAAAATGGAGAAACGTAAGTTTTGGGAAATTCGAAGGAGGTATATGAAGCGAGAGGGTTGGGTTTTGAGGGATTTAGCCGTTTAGGGTTTTCGTTTTTGTTTCAAAAATGTCTCAGTTTTTGGTTCGAATCGCAAAGATCTCATCATCCTCAATTGTGAAGAAGAAGCAGCATGGACTCTGTTTCAATCAATTACGGTCACTGTCCACGGCGGCGACGCCGTATCTGCTTTTCAAGGAGACCGACAAGTATGAAATGACATTATCTTGTGAACCATTGGTCGAATTGAACTTGTACGATCCGAGGAAAGACGAAACAGTGACCATACCCGACCAGACGCTGACGAAGGAGCTCCTCTCATCGACGAAAGAAGGATCGTCGGGGGATGGGTGGTTGCGAGGAACACATACGACTCCACATTGCATCTCACCAACATGTTCAACCCTTGTGCCTCTGCTTCCTCACGCAAAGTTATCTCTTTGCCTCCAACTAACGAGCGAATCTGGACAATCTCTTTCTCGGCCTCGCCGGACCAAGAAGACTGTGCAGTGGCCGCCAAGTCAACCGGTTCATCTCTCATTGTGTGTCGGCCTGGTGACTCAGATTGGACACCTATCAAAACCCCCTTTTTTGCCTCAGGGATGATATATTCAACGAGAGATGAAAAATTCTATCTCAACAGGGTGAGTCATGAAGAGTACAATGGTCCAGTTGATCTCGTCGACACTAGCTCTGGCTTCCCTCAGATGAGTCTATACCGGAGTTTCCCTTTCTCCGACATCCCCCAGAGTAGACTAGAACAAGTTTACTCAACTTCCAAGTCTCAACACATTGTCGAGTCACCTTCTGGCGAATCCTTCATCGTTCACTGGTAATTCATCATTCCTTTTTATCCGTATGAGATGATGATTATGCTCTGTTTGCTGAAATTTTGAGAACTTTGTGACACTCACTCTCCTATGGAAACTTGTTTGTTTGAAATCAAAATCTGTCTTGCCTTAAGGAGAAGTTGTTTGTTATTTTGTGGCATCATGTTGTTTGTAATTAGGCAAAGAATGTAAGCAGAGTGAGACATGGAGAGAATAATAATATGTGCATTGTTGAATCACACTTTCCTGATGCGGTTTACATTTTAACCAAATATTCAGATATCCTCATGTGTATCATTTGCTGCCTCTTGTCTCTTGAAGGTTTAACGAGTACTTGAACAAGGAAGAAATCGAGGCTTCACGCGCCAAGGAATATCAATCCTCCTACACAGAGAAGCCCAAGGGGTTTGTGGTGTTTAGGCAAGACCCTGAGCAAAAGATGAGTTGTTACACTGAAGACATTGGCGATCTCTGCATTTTCCTAGGCAAAAACGAGGCCTTCTGCGTCTCTGCAACCGAGTATCCTGGACTTAAGCCAAATTCCATCTACTTTGCAAACACTTTCACAGGGTTTGGTTTGTACGACCTTTCCTCCAACACTCTCCACGACATCATCAATCGGCCTCCTTACTCATGTCGCCACGTTTGGCTGGCCCCTCTCTAGTGAATGAAGCCTATTGGATTTAAAGTTTAAACTGTTGTAACATTGGTGTTGAGTATGCAATATGCTTTTTCGACTTTATCTTCTTATTATTTCAAGAGTTTTTTCTTTTGCTTTTCTTAATGTTGAACTTGTGAGAAAATGATGCTTAGGTTTTTAGTTGAGCAATGCATATTTAGTTTAACACTGATGAGACAATCTCCTACTTGATGAAATATTCAAATGGCGATTCACGTAAAGATACATTCATAGGTGTGTGTTGGCTCTACCCTTTAAGGTCCTCCTAGTTTTGGAACTTTGACACATAAGAAATCAATATTGCAAATCAAATATCTGAACCAACACCGTTTAGCAGAGCATCTCTACACATTTGAACTCTACGTGTAGGTGACTTGGAACGAGCTTGTCTAAAGTTATGCTGATAGAGAGGAGAATAAGAAACCGAGGGAGAAGCATAAGACAAGTGAGCTGGCAGTTTCAAGATTAATGATTGGCTTATAGTGTAGTAGAGTGAACTGGTGTGTGTAAAGAAAAGACTATACTTATAAATAGTTCTTCTGCTCGGTTAGTTTCTATCATCTGAATTCTAGAAAGAGTCTAGGTTCAGTGTGTTCTGGGTTAGTCAAGATCGAGAGGAGAATCTTGACTAAATCGGTTTGTATCTATTTGATTCAATAAAATTCTTCTTGGTTCCTATCATAAGCATTTGTGGGATAAAGTTGATTTTCGCTTATGAACTTTATGAATATGGCACAGTACTCATTCGGATTGAAGCATTAAAAGATTAAGCCAGAGCCTGGCGAGAAAATTCAGAACAACAACATCGTTTGATTCAAGTAAGTTCCAAGTTGTTATCTAAGAACTCTCGTGATTTAAAAAAAAAAAAAAAACTCATGATGCTCTTGCATAAAGTATGTATCAAAAAGACTAAAGGATTTTTCACAAACCCAAATTCCGCGTTCCTTTTTAATATCCTTTTTTAACATCTTAGGGTTTTGTGCCGAATACTTATTCCTTTTTAATATCCGTTTTTAACATTTTTATATTGGACTAGTTAAATGAATTGATGAGTTTTCTTGGACATATTATCATTAGTACTAATTTATGGGAAATTAGGTCATATATTAGTCTTTTAATACATAATTAGATATCTAAAATATAATTAGTTATCAAAATTTATACTATCTAAAATTCTCATTTTAGCC